AAATTCAAGTCCAGGTGTATTGCATTGTTCTTTCTTCCTTCCTTCCTTTGGCACTGGGGATCAAATCCAGGGCTTGTCCATGCAAAGCAAGAGCTCTGCCCACTGAGCCACATCCACAGCCCTGTACTGTATTTTTAAATATGGGTGATAGAACAATACAACTTCTAGGAGATTACATAAGAGACTATGTACTGTGAAATAGATATGTTCTTTAATGTAATTTTTAAAAAGAGCAATATACCCAGGTGTGGTGGTGCACTGCTATAATCCTAGCACTCAGGAGGCTGAGGCAGGTGGATCTTTGCAAGTTCAAAACCAGCCTGGGCTACAAAGTGAGCCCAAAGTCAGCCTGAACTGCATAGCAAGACCTTGTCTCAAAAAGACAACAAACAAACAAAAAGCCACCAATACGCAAATACTGGTAACCTGAGCACATTGAAGTGGAGAACCTCTATTTATCTAAAAATAGCATTTGTTTTTACCACCTAGTGAATAAAATCTACTAAGTCTCATATCTCATATATAGGAAAAACAGCTACAAATGAAAAAGAAACACAGCAAAATAAATCTAATATTATAAATGAGCAAAAGTCTTAAATTGGCATTTCACAAAAGCTGACAGCCAAATGGCCAAGAAGTACCACTATTGAGTGAAATGTTAATTAAAACCACAAAATTCCACTGTAAACCCATTCTAATAGCAAATAATAAAAAAGGAAAAGAAAGAAAAAGTGGAAGAGGACAGAAAATACCACCTGTTAGTGAAGATGTGAAGCAATAGCTATCATACATTATTGATGGGAATGTAAACTGGTTCAACCAACAAGGAAAATCTCTTTGGTATTAGCTATAGAAGTTGAATATATACACAGCTGTGATCCAGAAAATCTCAGTGGTTGTTTTATGATAAGAGGAAGGGGATCAGGACACTTTGGGGATGCTAGTAGTATCCTACTTTTTGACATTGGTAATGCTTATGTGGGGTTTTGCTTTGATCACTGAGTTACACATTTTTGGTTTGTGAATGTCGGCTTCACTGAATTAAGAGACTCCTGGAGAGGAGACTAGATTGGATTGTGAGGGTACTAAACTCCATTAATGAGCTATGATGAGATGGGACCTAGGCGGGGGAAGCGAATTATGGAAGCATGAATTTGAGGACGCTTATTTGGTTCCTGCCCCCACTTTCTCGGTTTCTCTTCTGCTTCCTGAATGCCATGAGTTGAAGTGCTTTTCTTTCCAACACGCTTCTGCTATTATATTTCTGCCTTGGAAATAGTAAAGGTTGAAACCTCTGAGACTGTGAGCCAAAATAAACTTTTCTCCTTTAGACTGTGTATGTCGGCTTACCGTGTCATAGGAGGGAGGGGATCAGGGTGCAGGCTTCGTCCCAGAAACAGGAAGCTAATACAGTGGAGACTTTTCTGTGTGTGCATTATGTTTCATATTTGGAACAGGATTAAAGAAAAAAAAAAAAAAAAGAAAACTGTGTAGAGAGAAAGCAAATGTGGTAAAATATTCTGTGTATTTGAACTGGTTTGTGTGTGTGTGTGTGTGGTGTTTTTAATACAGGGTCTCGGCTGTGCACTTGAAGCTGGCCTTGAGCTCACTGTGTAGCCCAGGCTGGTTTTGAACTTGCAATGATCCTCTGGTCTCAGTCTCCTAAGTGCTGGGATTACAGACATGTACCACCATACCTGGCTAAATTTCTTGAAAGTTGAAAGAAAACCTCTCTTTTGAGCTAACTTCCCCTGTAACCACAGTCCTTTTTAAAATCCCTTATCTTATGAGAAACTCCTTCAAAGCCTAGGGTTCTGTCCTATGTCACAGATACTTCAAATCTTAATAATAACTCTTTTGGGAGGCTTCTGGGAATTGAACTTACGCTTGGCAGGCAAGTGCTGCACCACTAAGTGAAACTAATTGTAATTTTTTTAGTAAGTCCTTATCTGATCACTCTTATTTAAAATTGTAACTGTATTTCTTTACTTGTTTTCTTAGTTTGTTTATATTCTCTTTAGCATTACATAAAAGTACCATCTAATTTTGCTTGTTCATTGCCTATCATCCTCACGAAAATAAAACTTTCAAAGGAGGGAACTTTATGTTTTGTTATTGCTACATGTCCAATGTTTAGGACAATGCCTAAGCACTCAATCAATATTTAACAAATCGTACTTAATATGAAGTACTCAAACCCGCCTTAATTTGTCTCTTGCCAGGCTCTCCACTTTCCTTTTGTAACCCTTTGGTTTCTCTAAATATGCCAAGCTCTCCTCCATCAGAGGCTTTGCACTCCCTATTCCCTCTGCTGAGAAAGCTTTTCACATAACAGACTCCTCATTCTTCAGGCTTTCATTTAAATATTTCTGAGGAAAGGCCCATTCAACTACTCTATCTCTGTTTGCCTTTTTTCCCTAATTCTTTTTCTTCCTGTTTATTTCCTTCAGAATACTTATTACAACCTTCTTGTCAATTCATTTGGTGATACTTTTGTTGTTTGTTTGCCTAATCTGGTACAACATATGTTTCATGAAGCTAGAGATCTAGTTTATCTGTCTTTCTTATTGATAGAGGCCTGATCACCTTTGCCCATATTTTAGTAGTTAGAATACAGTAGTTGCACTTAACTGCAACCACAGAGACTGCAAAGAAGTCAGGAAATGCAATCTTTCTGTGTAGTTAGGGAGAAAAAGAGAATGTTTTGGTGCCCTAGTTAGCCTTTACCCACTAGTGCACTGAAGATTAAATTGATGCTTGTTAAAGTTGCATGCCACATATCTGTGCATGTGGTGAGGGTTTGATGTCATCTTGTTACATCTTTCCCAGTGAGGTAGGTAGGTAGGTATAACATTAATCATGTATTTTTCAGAGATTAAAGAGGTCATTACTTTTTCAAAGATGCATAGTTAGTAAATAGTAGATCTGGGATTAAATCTAAATTCACTTTCTTAAAAAACTAGAACATTTCTTTGAAGCTCTTGAAAAATATAAGTTTGGCTGTCACATGCACAGGCCACACATTTTCTCATTTTCTAATAAATCATGCTGTACTCTTTTCAGTTGTCATTCATAAATTAATCTAGACTAATCATTCCTAAAGATGGAATTAGCTATTCTTACTCTATGGTTATGTCTCGCTGCTTGGATCTCTGCTCTCCAAGATGGGGTATGCTTTAGAGGTATGCTAAAGAAACATTGAGCTGTGGCAGACTTTTTGTAATTTCTACCTATATTTGTTATTCATTAAAAAATTAAGCTCTACTAATATGGCTTGAGGTTGGCATCTTCACACTGTCCCTTTTATTTGATGCTCAGGTCATGTGAAGTATAAATTGAGTTAGAAGTCAACCTGGGCTACAAATGAGTTTATCACCATCCTGAGCTACATAGTGAGATCCTACCTCACAAGAAACAATGAGAGAGAAAAGAAAAAGAAATGTTAATTTATATTTACTATCCACAAGGTAGTATGCATGAAGTATGAAGTATGTATTTTTTCCTGAGAAAATAATTTCAACTGCATTCTTCATTCATTCAAAGTCTCTCCATCTTTCACAGTTAAGAAGAGTTTTAGCCTGTGAACACAGTGATGATTACCATATAATAATCAAACAGTAAGAGTTGGTTGCTACTATTAAAATTTAGTTGCAAAAGTGATATAACTATCATCATTTCACCTCAAATAAACAGTATAATCTAGTGTTTCAGGAGATAATTTCTTTGTCTACAAGAATAACATGTGTTGAAAGTATAGTGCTAGATCCAAAAGAAGTCATATTGACCTAAGGAATCCTAGAAAGGACTAATTCTAGTACTTTTAAGTGGGGAAACCCTTAACTCCTCCATCAGAAACTCTCCCCAATTACCACTTAAAGTCCCTCTATCAGCATTGATTCCTATCATAAACCTCAGCATCACACATTGAATATAGACCCTCATTTATGTGTCTGTCTCCCTGCTCAGAAATATGCACAGGTGGTGTACTCAGAGGTTTTGGAATTAGACCACACAGACTATATGGTCTTAGGCAAGTTAGTAAACCAATGTCAGCTTATGACTTCATCTATAAAGTGTGAAAATGGGACCATTAAGTGAGACATATAATTTTATTTATTTTGCCTTTTTGACACAGGGTTTTACTATGCAGTTTAGGCAGGCCTTGAACTTACTTTGTAGCCAGGCTCTTGAATTCACAGTGATTTCCTGCTTCAGACTTACAAGTGCTAGAATTACAGGTATGGGCCACTATTCCCAGATAATTTTTTTTTGTCTTTTTGAGACAGGGTCTCTTTATGCAGTTCACTTTGTAGTGGCCTTGAGCTCACTTTGTAGCCTAGGCTGGTCTCAAACTTACAACAATCCTCCTGCCTCAGCCTCCTGAGTGCTTGAATTACAGGCGTGAGCCACCATGTCTGGCTTAATTTTTAACATTTAGCTCATTTTAGGGGCTCAACAAAAGTCATTGCTAATTTTCTTCATCCAGTCTACCCACATAATAAGTACATAATCATTTTGAATATTTGATTAATAAAATAAAGATAAACCATTTATTTAGAATATATGATTAGAAAAATAAACCATTTAAGTCCTGGATTTCTCCTACAAAATAAGCATTTTCATTGAATAATGACTAACATTTCAAGAGTGTTTATTAAGCTAGGTACTAGATATTTTCCATTCATTTTACTTAATTTTTACAACCACTATATGAAGAAAGTATTGCTAAAATCTCAATTTCACATATAAGAAAACCGAGGACCTAGTAACTTATCCACAACTGAATGGTGGGACCAATATTGGAATATAGATTTTTGTACATAACTATTTACTACAGAGCACTTAGCATATAAATATGTAGTTTTTAACTCTGCTTAAGACTGGCCTGGGGTTTTTATTGCCAAACCCAGAAAAAGCTGTATATATTTGAACTCAAAGCAAACATGGCCTAGGGCTTTTGCAAATACCTCACAGTGACCATCCTGTTTCCTCCCCCACAGGACTAGGTCTTCTGAAAAAAGCAACATGTGTAGCAGTGCCAAGAATCAGATTCTTTGAAGTATCCAGCCCATGAAATCAACCTGCTGGGCTTTGGCCTGCCCGCCACCTGTGAGTCAGCTATCCTGTAAAAGTGCCAAAGGCTCTGATGTAATCAGTTCTTAAACAGGTCCGACCACACCACCTCTACCATCTTCTACCTTTCATATCCTTCCTACCAAATTTCATCACAAAAAACCTGTTTAGGATGAAGGTATCACATCTCTCAGATGTAACACTGGGATTCCCCCTAATCTTCTGCATCAACTACCAGGCACAGATAACTACACTTATTTCATAAATGACAATGATGATTAATGACACCGCTGGGAGTTTTGGCCCCCAAATCAGCAAGTGTTCAAAGTCCTAGCTTTATGACACCGTGTAAATTGTCAACTTTTGTTTGAGATGTGGTCTTTCTATATCTAGGTGGGCCTTGAACTCCAGGGCTCAAGTGGTCCTCTTATTTCAGCCCTCCAATTAAGTTCTGGGATACCTAGTTTGTCTAGTAACTTTAAGTTTTACTTTTCCTATTAACAAATTGTGGAAAACAGTATTAACAGAATCTTACAGAGTTGTTACAAAGATTGAGAAACATGAATGAAATACATGTAATGTTCTTGGAATAATAAGTGCCTTTCTTTGGAGTAAGCAGTCAAATGTTAGCCGTAACACTAACTTGGGACCAGTGAACAAAGGAAATTCTCAATCTCCATCCAGAAAGTTTGGGCGAAAATTAAAAAGCTTCCAGCATTAATTAAGAAAACGTTCATCCTTTTGATCAATGAACTTCTTCCTCTGTCTTTTGCATTTTGACATTAGCAGTAAACAACTTGAGTTTTCCCATCATAGCTTGGGTGCAGTCTTACTGTTATGTACAAAAAGGAAACCACATTTGGAGATAAGGTGAGGATTTAAATAGCTGCACTGGTTTGATTGTAGTAGGCCTAGAAGATTCCATAGGAAAACTTTATAATGTACATGGCATTGAGTTCCTTTAACCAGTTTTGTTCTGACAACTTTATAGGATAATTCTCATACCGCTTTTGGAATTACTTAAAATACTTGTTTTACATGTTATTTTCCTCCTCTATGGCTAGACATTTTCTTGGTATGTTTTGTTTTGGTTTTATTATTTTTAATCATCTTTCTATACTCTGATAACATTTCACAGATAAGGACACTAGTTTCACAAAGTTCAAGTGAGTTTCTGAATGGTGAGTGGTAAAAAAGGGATTAGGAAAAATTTCATCTATAAAGCCAGAGAAATATTATCCACGTGAGACAAACTTTAGGACAAATTTTAATTTTTTTATCATTAACATCACATAGTTTGCACTTCAAAAACTTAGTAAGTATGCAATACTGACAAAATATATAAAGCTGATCATTTGATTATAGCACATATTAATATACCTAAAAGAAGTTTATGGAGTTGTTAGTTTGTAACAATTTCTACTATAAAAGCATAACTGAACATAGCCATTAGTTAGTCCTCAGGAGGCTTGGTGTGTTTTGCTCAGTCTATTAAGAATCGATAAAGCATGTAGCAGTATATAATACACACTGTAAATAAATGGAAGTAGGCTTCTGGCCTACTTACATGTTTTCAGGGTTCAGTTCTTAAACTAGGGCATGTGATAGATCCTAGAGGAGTATCAAACATTCAAAAATTATAGGTTTTGCACAAATACAGATCCAGAGATTGGTAGGGTAAGGAGAAGGTTTTAGCTGTTTCCTTCTGTATATTGTGGGGGAGGTGACATTGTGAATGGGTCCATAACCTTTATAAAACTCTTACAGATCCACAGACTCAGAACTTTAAGAAATATTCTTATAGAGAATGAAAAATAATCACTATTTATTCATCAGAAATCTAGTGCTTTGTAGAAGCACCATGCTGTCTTCGCCCTCATAATAAGGATGACATGAAAAACAAATACTCTGAATAATTATGATGATTTATAGTGTGAAATATTATTATTTTGGTTTTTGTTATCAAGGTAAGCTTACTGTAGGAATATGTTACTCAGGGTGTGAGTAGTAAGCATGGAATGATTTTTCAGTACTATAAAAGTCCTTTTTTTTGGTATTAGGATTTGAACTCAGGACCTCGCAGTTGCCAAGCAGGCACTGTGTCACTGAGCTATATGCCTGACCTCAAAAGTTCTTAGCAAAGTAATTTAAATGCCAAAACTTCTAGCCCACACTAGGTACTGAATGAATAGAGGTTAATAAAGCTAACAACAACAACAAAACCAGAAGAATAAGAGATTTATACTCACAGGCAGGGAGAATAGAAGGAACAGTAGCAAGTTTTAATAGGTTTCATGATCTTCATGAAATGTGAGTGTTATAAAGGAAACTTAAGATTACACACAGTCATCTAAGACTGAGGGTCAAAGAGGTACATTTACTTAAACCTGATTCACATCAGACTTCACTTTTCTACGCAACTTCTGAGATCAAACTACATGCCATTTGAAGAGATGATAATGCTTACTAGAATTTGGTTTATGTTATGTGTGAATTTGCTTCTCCAGTTAAAACTGGAGGACAAAACTTTAGATTAAAGACAAAGCACATAAACAAGTGTTTTTGCCTGCAGTTCCAGAATACTAAAATGGACCTTAGAATATACTTAGGTGAACCTTTCTATTTTAAGGATGATGCAATTGGGACCCAGAAAGGTAAAGTGACTTTTCAAGAATAAGTTACTAGGGGCTGGGGATTTAGCTCAGCGGCATAAGCGCCTGCCCTTGCAAGCAGGCAGTCGTGAGTTTGATCCCTGGCACCGATAAAAATGAAAAAGACAAAAAAAAAAAAAAAAGAATAAGTTATTGGCAGAATCAGTACTAGTAATCACAGGTCTAAACTTCGATTAAGACAGGTCAGGTTTTATATGAAGACTCTTCCTCTTAAGCACTTACCTCTTTCGTTGGGGCTCCTTTTGTTTGACTCAGAACTCTAAAACACACTGCCCATTGTGTATTCTGTAGTGCACACTGCTCCAATCAGGCCCTAATCTCCTTCCCAAACCCTTGACGGTCATGTGCTAACCCAGATTCCTTTATGTTTACCTTTTCTGACTCCTCATTCTTTTCAACAGTTCAAACTACGAAGTTGCTAAAGACTAATAATGATGTCATTATTAACTCCTTCTGGGTATATATTCCACAAAAGCCTATTAGGAGAGGCACTGTCTTAATGCAAAAAGATGTTTTTGAATAAGGAATAGATGTACACAGAACATTCAAACTTTTCTTCCTGAAAAATAAAACAACTATTTTTAAGTACAAAAAGTATAAGTAGGTGGCACAAGGTAATAATTTGGGGTGATGGAAATGTCCTGTATCTTGGTTGAGAAGATGTTACATGACTATGCATTTGTCAAAACTTATAGAAGCATACATCCAAAGGGTAAAACATACTAGGTAGAAATTTAAAAATTAACTAAAATTTTTTAGTTAAAAGTATTTAAAAATTAACTAAAATTTTTAAGTTAAAAGTATGGAAATTTAAAAATTAACTAAAATTTTTTAGTTAAAAGTATGGAAAAAGTAATTTCAAAGCTTATTTATGCCCCCTAAGTTTCCTGCATACGGACAACCACCATGAATGATGTACCCCATTGACTTCTAGAAAGTAACATTCTAATGACAGAAATTTAGTCACTGAGGCAGACTGATTGGGGAGTTATTTTTAGAAATTACTTTTTAGTTTTCTTAAACGATAAAAATTCCCTATTCTTAAGTTTGGCACTGGTTGGGGCAAATGAAAATGGGAAAATAAGAAGTGAGAATTGAAAACAAAGGTGAGAATTAAGACTGGCACTAAAATTTTAATGTACTAGAGGTGTAGAGCCTAAAATCCTAAAACAAAAACTGGGTTGAATAATACAAAGGTGATTGATGTCAAAAGTTATACGTATTACTCCAGAGCTGTGATGGAAAGTGTTCTGTTTGATAGCTTACTTGGAGTGAATTATGCCTGCTTCCCATTCCTGTTTCTGGCATGTCATTTGATTTCTGTGTAGTTTTCATACCATGCTTTTATGTATTACTCATGCGAACATATCCATTTGATTCATTTGTGATTGCCAAATGTAAAATTAATAGTTATGGCATTCTATTAACACCTCAATATTTATATTACCCTGCCACATTTTTGGCTTGCAGATCTATTTTTCTGTCTCTCCCCACAAGATTGTCACACTCTCACACACATGCCTGTGTTTAGATACTAAGAATTTACCTAGTATATCATCTGACACCTAGTGGTACCCAATGAATATATGCTGAAGAAACAAAAGCCCTGTTTGAAGCACAAAAGGAAATGTAAAAATAAATATGATATAGTTCCTGTTTTCAAAGGAAGTTAAAACTAAGTGGTCAAATGCTATTAATATGATTACTTGTATAAAAAACACAGGTGAGTAAAGGGAAAGATCGAGCATACTCTATGGAAACCATTTATAACATTATGAATCCTAGTGCAAGAGTATATGAGAGACCATTTTAATATAACTTTATATTGCCTTGGCTGAAGGTGGTAAACCTTACTAAGTAATAGGAAAATATACCAGATGGATATCGCTTATCTAAAAATGGTCTACTTGACTGAAAGTATGTATTTTATATATGTAATATGAGTATATATTATTAAATGTTTTAAAATTTTGTACTAAACTGAGTATAGAATAGCCTTTGTTAAAACTGTATTTTCTTTGAATTTGTTATAAAGAATCAGGCTCCAAGGAAAATAATGGTTTCATTAACTAAAAGGTCCACTCTGGAGCCATTTTTCAGGCTTCCTTTAGAAAATAAATTTATGTGTTATGGTAGTAGCTTTTGTGGTTATGTAATTACACACACGATGCCATGAAGCTGAATTATCAATACATTTTATTTTCAAATATATGGGCTTCCCTACCTGTCCGTTATAGATGGGTTGTGATGCATTGGGAATCAGACTCCAGTTGAGAGACTTTTGTCCAGGACAATAAAGAATATCTTCAATGAATGTTCTGCAGTATTTCTTAATGCAAATTTGTCACAAAATGATTTGATGATAAGGGATGACACAGGTCAATTATTAAAGTATTAAAAACCATAAAAGCTTTATAATTTAACAATTACTTTATCCACTAAACAAGTACTGTCTATTGTATATATGCCAAGCAGAAGAAAAATTGTATTACCTAGCAACTATAACATCTGATTGCCAGATGGCAGCTTGCTGGTTTGAACCAGTCACTTTGCAGCTTTGTGTTAAAAGTGAAAGAGTTAGAAGAAGGAGTTGAGTTGCTTAGACACTGTAATTAGCTTTGGTGGGTGGGGCCATTATGAATTTTAAAGGTAGTTTTCTGTCTCCATTGACCTTATAACTAGAACATTCTACCCTTTCTAGGGCAAATGAGGGCAAGGGAGTTTGTTTATTTGTAATTATTTTGAAAAAATAAACTTGGTCAAGAAGCCTGAATGAAGAGTACAAGTTAAAAAAAAGAAAATTTGGTGCTGGCACACACCTGTAATCCCAGCTACATGGGAAGCTGTTGGCAAAAGGATTCCAAGCTCCAGGCCAGCCTGAGTAACTTAAGACTTTGTCTCAAAACAAAACAGTGGTAATGGAGTTCCATTAGTAGAGCACTTGGAGAGCATAGAAGGCCTTGGGTTCAATTTGGTTCTGTAGACTGTGAGATATCACTGTATTTGTGCTTTTAAGGATTATATGCTTTAGGTGAGTGTTCTGGAAAGAATAACTATAGATCAATAATCCCTTATCCTGAGAGGTACGAAGGCTCATGCCTGTAATCCCAGCGTTCAGGACGATGAGGCAAGAGGATAGCTGTGAGTTTCAGGCCATGTTGGGAGCCGCCGACACCGGTTGCCTTACTTGGCGGACGTAGGGCCTGTGGGTGGGAGCGGAGCCTGAGCTAGATTGCCCCTCCCATCGAGTGAGTCAAGTTGGCGCCTGCTTCCTGCCCCCTGATTGCGCTGGCGACTTAAACAACCCGCTCTGTAAGATAGTCTGCCTAGCAACAACTGATGTTAGCCAATCAGCCCGCATCGCGCGCTTTGAACTGATTGGCCACTGTTACCCTATAAAAGTAAATGCCTCTCCCGCCACAAGAGAGAAGCAGCACACAGGAAGCACAGAGAGAGATAGAGAAAGTCCACCGGCGAGAAAGGGCTGGTGGCAGAGAGGAGGCCTCGCGGGGCCCACGCGGAGACAAATAAAGGCAAGGTTGCACACCGCCAGACTTTGTTGTGTGTCTTTCCTGCCGGCCGGGAGCGACCCCGACAAGGCCAGTTTGGTCTACATAGTACATTTCAACCAGTCAGAACAACATAGTAAAATTGCTTCAAAAAACCAAAAAGAAGTCTTGGGAATTTGGAATGGCAATGAAGTTTATATACTATTACAGAATGTCCCCACTAGAGTCTGGGCAGCGTACTGTGGGATCAAAGTTCCTGCTAGAATGAGTGAAACCTATAAACAGCTTCATGTAACTGCAGTTCAGGCCAGGTTTTGCTTCTAGGCACCTAATATCTTTATCCATAAAATGAAGTTCTAGTATTCCACTTTTTCAAGTTACAGATCAACTAAAACAAATGTTTCTGAGTCAGAACTAAAAAAAATTTAAGTCATGCATTCATTTACAGACGTTGGTCCAGTACTTCCCATGTGGATCCAAAGGGCTTAGAACTCATTTTTTGCCGGGAGGAAAAAAAGTGCCTTCCTAGAAAGCACAAGGGCATGAGTTCAATTCCTGATACAAAAAAAAAAAAAAGATCATTTTTCATTATCATTAGCACTCTCAGTCCAAACAGTTATTTTTGCCTAAAGTGCTTTATTTCTAAACAAGTTATGTGCAAATGTATTTATTGACTTGAGGTGCATTAAAACAATCTATTGGCTGTAAATTATCAATACAAACTCCAGAAATCTATTTTCCTCATAGCACAATAGAAAAGAAAGACATTGATTACACTGAAGATAAAGTAAATTACTGCAGCATAGACTACCTTTAAACTTATTTTTTTTTAATTTTATTTTTAAGAGATTAAGAGAAAAGAGGACAGAACAAAGCAGATCAGAACAGAACAATGTAAGCAACACGGCACTTCTTCACAAGACAACTGGGTATTAACAGTAGTTACTATAACGTCTCTTTCTTTGAAATAGTTGAGCATACCTTCACATACATACATTTAAACTTTTAAAAGTATGATGCATTTTAAATTAAAAAGCTTTAAAGTTTTTTTTTACCAAATCCATTTTATTTCAAGAGGAAAATTAAAAACAAAAATAAAATGTCAAAAAACACCAATCAGGAGGCAACAATGGTACACCCATTGCTCATTGTCATCCCCAGATCATTTACCCAGAACACAAGACATCTGCATTCAATTGTCTTAACAATACTGGCACAAATCTTTCTCTTTAGTGAACTCAGAGAAATCAGTAGTATAACTATCCTATTTTTATATACATATACGTGCACATATACATGTTTCAGCTTCTCACACTGAGACAATACAATGTGTTTTAATTTACTAATGCATATGGCCTCAAGTTGCATTCATTTATCTATAAAAGTCTCCAGTTTATCCTTCTTTATGGCTGAGTAGTACTTCATTGTATAAAAATACATTAAAGATGTGTTTTAAATAGCTACAGAACTTTGTCATCTGGCTTTAATTTCATGATTGTTGCATCACTTTGGGGGAATGCACATAAAAGACAATGTATATAGTCATGGTTAAATGATCATTTTCCCTTTTGTGTGAACATAAGAGGGAAGTACTTAGGTCAAAGATGTTACTTTGTGTTTTGTATTTCTTTATTTTTTTTTTATTTAAGAGGAAAAAGAGAAAAACACAAAACAAACCAAAGCGGTGTAAGGGTACACGTAATACAGAACTACAAAAAAACAAAACAAAACAAAAAAAAACCAAAACAAACAAACAAAAAAAACAACAGTAAGAAATCACCTGTTAGTAGATTACATATTATCATCTTGAAAATAGTTCCTCAAATTTGTATTTCTTTAAAAGAAAGCAGTTTGAGGACCCGGGGTTTAGCTCTGTGGTGTAAGCCCCTGCTTGGCAAATGCAAAGTTGTGAGTTTGATCCCTGGTACGAAAAAACCAACCAAACAAACAAAAAAGCAAAGAGAAAGCAGTTGGGTGTGTAGTATACTTTAAATGTTGAACAAATGGGTGAAACCCTCAATTCCTCTTGCTTGTCAATGAGTGATATTGGGTGGATTTGTGCTTTAACTTTTGTTTTTGAGACAGGGTTTAACTATGTCATTCAGGCTGGTCTAGAACTCACTTTGTAGGCTAGGCTGGCTTTGTACTCAAAGGGATTCTCCTGCCTCAGTTCCTGATTGCTGAGATTACAGGTGTATGCTATCAATTAAATTCTACATTGTAAGGCACCACAAATTTTCAGTGCTGAGATCTTAATTGGACCTGGGATACTGCACTGAAAAAAATTTTTTTGGTAGTGAGGATCGAACTCATGACATCATGCTTGCCAGGCAGGCTCTTATGCTGCTGAGCAAAATCTCTGGCTCCTTCAAAATTTTTATATCATTAAAAATTTTAACCACGGTCTTAAATTAGGGTTTATATAAACAGAAGTCAGAAGGTCCATGATCTTCAATGGGGGAAGATTACACCTATTACTTTCAATAATTTCTAATGAAATTTGAATATAGGCAACAAATCACAGTAGTGTTAACAGTAATTATCACAAACTTAACGTTCTTATCATAATTGTTGGTGATAACTTGAAATATTATTCAACATAGTCATATGTTGAAAATAACAGTTGAGGAGCTGGGGATTTAGCTCAGCGGCATAAGCGCCTGCTTTCCAAGCAGGCAGTCATGAGTTTGATCCCTGATACCGATAAAAACGAAAACGACCAAAAAAAAAAAAAAAAAAAAAAAAAAAAGAAAAGAAAAAAAAAATAACAGTTGAGCACTGCTGGATCCTGTTAAGGAACTAATAAAGCACATATATTTATGTACTTTTGTGATACTGGAAATTGAACCCAGTCTCACAAATGCTAGGCACTGAACTACATCCCTGACACTTTTTATTGAGATGTGCTTTCACTGATTTAGTAAGTTGGCCTTAGAACTGTAATTTTCCTACCTCAGCTTATTCACAAGGTGGGCTTACAGCATGTACAACACCTAGCAAGCACATCTACTTTTTTTTTTTTTTTTGTCTTTTTTGAGAAGGGGTCTCGCTATGCAGTTCAGGCTGGCCTTGAGCTTACTTTGTAGCCCAAGTTGGTCTTGAACTTGCAACGATCCTTCCACCTCAGCCTCCTGAGTGCTGGGATTACTGGCGTGAGCCACCACGCCTGGCTAAGCACATCTACTCTTATATAAAAATCTAGTAACATTTTTGAAAAGTCAGTATTAATGGCTCCTTTGGTAATCAAATGCACTGTATTTTATGCATTTAAATTTGTTTTGTTTTTGAGACAGAGTTCTATGTTGCTCAGACTGGCCTTAAACTTTCGGTGATCTTCCTGCCTCAGCCTCAAGTGCTGGGAATAAAAGTATATCACTATGCCTGGCTAAATATTTCTTAAAGAGATCAATAGACTTCAGTATACTGAAAAAAATGTATGACACTAAAAGGGTGAAATATAGTTGTTTATACCTCCAAGGCCACGTATTAGATATTTACTCAGTACATAGTTACAGAATCAAATACGTTTAGAACTGGTCAAAATTGTGCTCCCAAAACACTGACATAAAACTACACCTTTCCATGAGCCAAGAGCAGCTGCCATGGGGAACAGGAAGAGAATCAAGAAGCCAAACCAGGCCTTCCTGTGAGCCGTCCAGTGTGATGGTTGGGAGACAAAAAGAGCAACACTCACTCCCCCTTCACACACACACACCCCCGCCCCCCCCCCAAGTAATGGGCTGATTCTGAAGAAGTCAGGGTGACATACCAACTGAAGAAAAACAAAAACACCTCCTAATTCTTG